GCTCATTACATTTCTTGCCTTTTTAATGCAACATCTTAAATTGTTTGAGATTGCACGAAACACCAGTCTTGCACACACAAAAACTTGTGGCCATATGGAAATAGTATCCCCTGTCCATGTTTCTTATGCAAAGAAACCCCAAACAGTTTGGGCATTTTTGTGCAAAGTAATTTCCCAAAACACTTGGGGATGTGTAAATGACTGGCAAGTACTATGTAAAAAATGTTCACCTTTTTTTTGCAGCAGGGAAAAAAAACTAAAAAGTTTTCATACTCAGTTGTAAGGATAAAATAATTTAATAATAAAATACTCTGTGCGTGCGTGTGTGTGTGTGTGTGTGTGTTCCATCATTTCCAGATGTGGAATGGGAACAGGCAGGTCTTCAAAGTTACCCACCATGACTTATGCTTTTGGATTGGTCAAGACAAGTACTTTATTGGAAAGCCATGAATGTGCTTGCCATCTCCTGGCTGCAGGGGCCATTTAGGGAGAAGAAGAAAACCTAAAAGTTAAATACTGTTTTATTGGGAGGCTTAAAAACTTCCAAAAATATAAATCTAAAATATTTATATATGGGCTTCAAATGGAACAGACGTTATGACCTCATACGTGCATAGAAAATGTCAAGGGTCCCCCTTCCCTTTCTTCCTCACTCCCACCTGGAATAACTTTAGCTTTTCAGTTTCCCTTCACTCTGTGCCCAGGTTAGCTTCTTGTTGACTTATGGCTCCATCAATCTGTGCAGATATGTGCAGTTCTCCATCCAGGGAAGTAGTTCATCTTATATATGACTGTGCCTCCATTTCTTCTAAAGTTGGGGAGGGGGGGGGTAATACATCAGGACCATTGCCTATTCAAACCAGCTTTGTAGTAAGAAATTCTCCCTCCACTTTGTGTGGACTTTGTCAGCATCACTCAAGGTGAATTCAAAATGGAAGTCCAACAATTCCTTTGATGAAATGACTCAAAACCAACCTGAAATCATTTTAGCCTCAATTTTGAAGTCATTTTTGCTTTGAAACATTTCTTTAAGCACTTAGGCAGACATTGTGGCCAAGAATGAGTAATCACTAGTGTATCTATGATGGTGAGGTAGTCAATCTATTCCAAGTTTTTGTGTGCCTTACTTTGAGAAGGTTTCCTTGGATGTAGGAGGAGAGGAGAAATGCCAGGAGGACAATCCCCAGCCAGAGCTGAAGAGATTGGTAGCCTGTTGTGACAGAAGCAATGCCCAGTCCAACCCAGGCAGAACTTGTAGATTTGGAAAAGAAATTAGCTCTCCCCCCACCACCACCACCATATATCAAAAGCTCAAAAGCAAGAAATAGAAATGCCAAAGATGGACTGCCTGGATAATTTGATGGACACTGTCACCACCTTGGAACTGATTTGATTTTACTCTGGTCAGCTTCTGCAAATGAGGTATATACTCTTGGCTGCTTGCCCTCTTTAAAACAAAATAATCTGGGCTCACTTTAAAGAACTTTGCAAGTTTCTAAACCTATTTCAGATTATTCCATTTGTTTATTTTACTTATATCCCACTTTTCTCCCAAATGGGATTCAAAATGGCTTACAATTTCAAAGCGAGTTCAGCTCACTTGTCTGCTTCCTGGCCAACATTATTGTCTCCAGGCTCTTGTAATTCAGACCTTGACTTCTTGGCTTCTTCAATCCTTGGACCATGTTGACTTTGCTGCTTGTTTGTTTCCCTGAACTGGACTACTTAACAAGTATGTTTCTTTGGACAGATTCCCACAGGTAAGAATGCTTTCTGGGGGCTTTTATCACTACAAGCTTTTTCTCTCAGACAAACTCAATAGATTGTGCCCTGCCTGAGCCCTGAATACATGGCCTACAAGCCATGCCATATGGTTATTTTTTTAAGCCAACTGATCAAGTGTTTAATAAATACTTGGTGTGGAGGGATAATGAGATGAGTATCTCATTGTCTCAACAGTTCATACTTCTCTTAATCATTTGTATTATGACCATGGGGAACTATAAATGAAAAGGAAAGTTAAAGAGAAGAAGGAGGGGTTTAGAGTGAACATTCAGGTTTACTTTCATTTGCCTTACAACAAAATGGTCAAAATAATTAATTCTGGGATAAGAATGATCTGGTTCACACATGAATACTCACTGCCTGAATATGTCTTACTTAATTACTCAATGACCATAACACAAGTTACAACCACTCAGCTTAAACACAGAATTAGAATCCATCACTGGAATCTTAGATTGACTACAACACTTTAACTTCCATGGGTCAATGCTATAGAATCTTGGGATTTGTAGTTTGTTGTGGTATCAGAGCTCTTTGACAGAGGAGGCTAAAGAGCTCACAAAACTACAAACCCCAGGATTCCATTGCATTGAACTATGGCAGTTGAAGTGGTGTCAAACTGTATTATTTCTACAGTGCAGATGCAGCCTATGTGAGTACTCCATGGAGAATAGCAACACTGTGCAACACATGTCAATAATTAAGTCTCATTGTGTGATGCACAATACATGGTGCACAACTGCAGCACATAAGAGATAGAGAACACCATCTTCCAGATGAGGTCAGTCTGAATGAGAGGAAGAAAAGGTTCCAGATGAGGTCAGTCTGAACGAGAGGAAGAAAACACAAGGCACAGATGAACACAATTTGCACAACTCTGCTTTGGGTACTATTAGCAAAATATGGCCATTATTCAATGGTGACATTTTGCTCCAACATTGTTAGCATCTCTTACACTTGCATTTGTTCCTATCAGAATGTTGGCTGTTGACAAAATACCTTTTTTGAACAAAACATATTTTTTAAAAAATGAATGTGTCCATTTAATTTAATTTAATTTAATTTAATTTAATTTAGACGTTTAAAATTCATTGAAAGAACAATGGATTTCTCAGCAACAGTGGCAGAGTTGGAATTATATCCTGGCTGTGCTGATCTGGAATACTGAACTTTTCTGGAAGAGCATCAAATATAAACTTCAAAAGCATACCTTTCTCTTTTTCCATTCTTCTTTTATTTTTCTCTCCCTTGAAAAAGTCCCCCAAAACATGGAATCCATTACTTCATTACATAAGTGCCATTTTCAAATGTAAATTTGAAAAAAAAATAATTAATGTGCTTTGTTAGGCATGCTTTCCCTCTCAATTATACTCATCAGACAAAATTTCCTATAGAACCTTTTCTTCCTCTCGTTCAGACTGACCTCATCTGGAAGATGGTGTTCTCTATCTCTTTCTTTCTTAGAGATGGATTTTTCAAAGCTGAGTTTGTTGGACCATATTTCCATAATGAACACTCTTTGGCCGAGAAAGGGAACCCTAGACAATTTCTGCTTCTGTTCCAAGGGCAGTCAACTGCCATTCTGTGTAAGAAGCACAACATGCACACGAATTGTGTGTGTGTGTGTGTGTGTGTGTGTGTGTGTGTGTGTGTATTATTATATCAAATCCTCCAACTTCTCAGACTTTGTCCACTTCACTGCTGCCTAATGCTGTAAGACAAGCATATGGTGTTTACTGCAATGACTGACAACTTTCTGGTTTTCTTCTCTCCTCAGGAGAATCCCTTCCTGCCAACTCAATTTGCAAGGCCTTGGATCTTTCCGTGGACCTTTGGTCTGTATCCAGAATATTCCTCTATATTCTGTTGGCAAATCTCAGCAAAAGACAACCTGTATTTTCCCTCTACCTAATTAACAGTCCACTGAGAGAAAAATACCATCCAAGGAATCATCAGAGCCAGGCTGCCTATTTGCCTTTTGTAGTCCAGTCACTGTCAGGGAGAGAAGCGCTGTTGGGGAAAGGTTGCATGCTCCTCTAATGTCCAAGATGTGCTTTCATGCATTCATTGTCATGGGTATGAACCCACATACTTGAAGTCTGCTTCAGTCACCTGCTGAGGTCAGGGGACACCAACCTGGAATGGAAGAAGAAGAAAACCCCTGGAAAATATATGGTAAATGGCTTTGAATGGTCTAAAGATTTGCCAAAAGGACTGGGCTTGAGTCTGTTGCCATCGACAAATAGCCAGTCTAACCTGGCTTTGAGAGATTTGAGATAAAACAGCCAAGACAGCCTCTGCGGAGAGAATGCAAAACAAAACTGGAAGGGGGAGGGTTTCCAAACTCCAGCAAGAGTGTAAATGCTTGCATTAGTTTGCATACAGATATTCCAACCCAACTACCTAAGATGCTCCTCATAGGGCTTTATGGCTTCTAGACCTTTCACCATTTTGGTCACCCTCCTCTGATATTCCTTCTGATTTTACTTTGAGGCCTATTCAAAGTGCTGAATGAAAAAAGGTTCAAAGTCCCTGATAGCTCACTGAAAATTCAGAGTTAAGCCAGAATAGATTTATCACCCCACCCCTGCATCTGTCTTAAAATTTTATAACAATTTTACTTCTATTGAAAGAACTAAACCGACACTTATTTAAGACTATGAGCACATAATTTAAAGTGTAATAATAATAATGCAAAGCTCTTTGTTAAAAAAAGGAGATTAAAGTGCTATTTTCAATGGCTTTTCAGTTGGTTTCAGACATGCTTTTGGAGGCAACTATTAGGCTCACCAGCTATTAGGTTTCAATTTGCCTAAGGCTACCCGTTCAGTACATGGTTTAGGTATAAAAAAATTCTTAGCACCCGCTCCATCACCCTTTTGTCCTTTCTTAGAACATCATCTTTTTAAACAGGAAGATAAATGTAACCAATTTAGAGGATGGAAAGAGGAAGGTTTATATAGAATACAAGATTTCTATTTGAATCATAAACCTATACAATTAGACCAAATTAATTAAGGACTTAAAGCAAAAGATCCATCATAGTTGCAACAAATGCAAATACACTTTCAGACAATATTAAATAGAATGGATGCTCCCCACCCTGAGACTCTACTTGAAACATACTGTAACAACAGCATAAACATAACAAAAGGACAAGTATCAAACTATAGTAAATAATACAAAAGGCAAAATTTGGTAAATTTAAAGTGATGAGCTAGTGTGGTGTAGTGGTTTGAGTGTTGGACTATGACACTGAGGACCAGGGTTCAATTCCCAGCTTGGCCATGAAACCCACTGGGTGACATTGGGCAAGTCACATTCTCTCCACTTCAGGGAAAGGCAATGATAAACCTCCTCTGAACAAATTTTGCCAAGAAAACCCCATAAAAGGTTCATGTTAGGGTTGCTATAAGTCAGAACTGACTTGAAACTACTACTATTACTACTACTATTATTACTATTACTACTACTCCTACAGGATGAGACTTGTTTTGGAGTTGAATTTGAGGACTAAAAATAATGGGAAAAGAATGGGGCTCAATTTGGAAAAAAAACACCCTCTAAATCAATATCTTCCCAGATCAGAGAAAATATATTAAAATTATTCATAAATGATATTACTATCTACTTAAATTCCATAAGATCAATAATAAAGTGTCAAAGTTATGTTGGAGACATTGTAGCAAGATAAATGAATGGGATCTGTGGGTAAGGAGGACCTGCTCTGGATTCTGGTAGGATGCATTAGGATAGAGAAGTCAAATGTTGACACCCTCCCCTCCTGAGTCCACTTCAGAGGGGCAATATTATTAATTTCTATATTTGAAAATGAAATTGACAAATAAAGATCTTATAGCATGCATCCGAAGTGCTACAAGGCTAGGAATAGTCAGAGCATGGAAAATATTAGAAAATCTCTCAATACAAAAGTGGTTAAATAGGACATGGTCCATAGCTCTTTCAGGAAAATTAACAAACAAAATAAGAGTAGCAAGAGGAGACAAAAGAAGACCTGTCTGAGATTACTTGGAAGCCATTCATTGCTTATATTTCTTGTGGCAATACTGGACTGAAACCCCCTTTGGATCAAGAGAGATTTTGGAAAAACAAGTACTGAAGTTTACTACTAATATATAAATAACATATAATTATTTGAATGGCAATTCATATGTATGATGATTGATAAGGATAGTGTTCATGATTTTATGATTAGAGGAGGAAAGAGCAGAGGGGAGGGATAGAGGGAGAAGAAAGAATTAAATTGTGATATTTGTAATTACAATATGTGTAATATTGAGAGCCAGGATGGTGAAGTGGTTTGAGCATTGCACTATGACTGGAGACCAGGGTTCAATTCCCAGTTTATCCATGAAACCATTGGGTGACTTTGAATGTGTCACATATTTTGAGCTTCAGAAAACCCCATGATAGGTTCACCTGAGGGTCACTATAATTGAGAAATGAAGGCATACAGCTACAACATTAAATTTGTAATATTATTGTTATGTATTTATCTTATGCATTTGGGGCACTGTGCAGGGGTTGAACTCAATGGTCCACGAGGCTCCTTCCAATTCTATGATTCTTTGATTCTCTTGAGTCATGATCCAATGCTCAAACCACTACAATAGCTACACTGGGATAAACAAATGTACACTCAGCAACAGCTGAACAGGATCTTGGTTATCTATATTTATGGCCAGACCAATAGATGACTGTGATCCTTCAATAAGGTTGGTATTGTAAATATCTGCATACAGAGTTCCTCATTGATTTTGCTCTGCAACCATGCAATTGAATGCCAACACTGTGCAAATTCACAACGGTATGCACAATGCACAACTGCATCAACACCTGGATTCACATCTGTATAGACAATGAGGCCAGATACCCGGTAATGCTTCTGCAACCTTGAACTGAATGCAGGACAACAACAAAAAAAAATCTTCTGAAGGGTAATTTACACACATGTAAAGACACAAACAGGATCCCAGCCATGATCTATTTGTACGGCATCTCTATCTCCATCACCATCTCTCTACCTATATATTTTCTGTATCTCCCCAGTTTTTGCTGGTGCAATGTGAAGGATAATTATTTTATTTTTAAGTTTAGCTATTTCCCCCTCTCCTGCTGTTCTTTCAAGCAGCCTGTTCCAGCAACAGACAAAAGGGGACACTGCAGCTTCTAGGACTGCGGAGGTTGAAGAGGGAAGAAGAGAAGTGCATGATTGATGGAGTTCTGGTTGGCTTATAAAGGGCAGCCGGGAGAGCAGGGAAATAATCAGGGAAAAGGGCGTCCCATACTGGCTCTCTCAGAGGGGAGAGATGAATCCTGAGCTTCTGCATTATTAAGTTGTCAGGCGGGCTGATGATGAAAATCTGAAGGTCAGGAATAACAAGAAGCACCTTATGGGGGGATCATGACCTTTCTGGGAGTGCTACACTCATATTTATCCGCACCTAACCCTTATCCACAATTCTTCATTTGATAAGAACATTGGGAGGTGGGGGAAAAGAAGAAGAAGAAAGAGAAGGAGAGAGATGGGGGTGTTGGGGGGGCGGCTTTGGATCTTCAGGGGAAGAGATTGAGAAGGCGGGGAGGCCTTGTTGTCTCCCTTCTAAGCAGCTGAGGAAAATTAGGCTCTTTACGGAACTGATTGTGGATGCTGGAGTCACAGGGAAAGATAATAAACCCAACGGACACCCGAGGAATGCCAGTAGAAATTGTTTGCTACAGGGGAACTCAATAAAGGGAACAACGGCAGCGTTCCTTAATGACAAATTTAGTACAGTGGGACTAAAATCAGTACTCTTCCTGGTACCATGGCAGTCATTCCACATCAGAAAATGCTACTTTTAAAATTTATTTTACAGCTCCAGCTTATGAAGGGGAGGTTGATTTTCCCCATCCATATTTATTTCCGCTAACAAACAGAAAAGAGGAGGGGAGATCAATGTAATGCAATAATGTCTTTTTATTGGCCACTTTGTGCATTCCTTTATTTTTCCAGCTGAATGTCAAGGGCTAACTCTACCATTAGCCAAAGGTGAGGTGGCAACCTCAGGCAGCATCATGGATACCAAATTCCACAAATTCTTAGTTATTTGATGTGTTACTATGGTATTGTTATTGCCAGAGGTGGGATGTGGAAATGTGTGTTTGTATATATATATATATATATTTTTTGGGGGGGGGGGGTTAGGTGTCAAATAACTGTTGGGTTTGAGGACTGCACACATAATCTTGAGTAGTGTGTCTTTGTGTGTTTATGGGGGGGTTGTTCTTGTATCTCGGTGAGCAAAATGAAGGAGAGTCTTAAGATGTGTGTGTGTGTGCACATACAAAAAGATTTAATTCCACAAATTAATCCAACCTGTTTTAGCCCAGAAATATTTGTACAGCCTTCATCAGGGAAAAGCAATTTGAGAATCAAACCTGAAGAGGTTTCACAGACGGGTGTCTCCAAAGGTTTGTCAAAATTCTTGCAGGTTAATTTTCAAATTGCTTTTCCTTGAAGATGGTCATACAAATAGGAAGCACCATTTTGTTTTGCTAATGGGGTTTAAATCTCCTGGACTTTAAAAATTCTTTGTCTCCCAGTACCACAAAGCCAGAAGGAAGAGATGCTGGCATGCACAGATATCTTTCCATACTCAGAATACCAATAGCATCTTGATAAAATGAAGCTCTGTGACTAGCATCATCAATGTTTTTCTCATTGTTTGAGTGTTGGACTACAGCTCTGGAGACCAGGGTTCGATTCCCAGCTCAGCTATGAAACCCACTGGGTGACCTTGGGCAAGTCACACACTCTCAGCCTCAGGAGAAGGCAAGGGAAAACCCATGACATGCTTGCCTTAAGTTGGAAATGACTTGAACAACAACAATTATTTTAAACACTTTTGCCTTATGAAGAAACCAGTGGAGCTTCCAAAGCTTGCATCATATATTTTGTGCATTTTGGTTGTTCCAATGAAGGTATCACTGTTTGGTGGATTTTTGAATTTTATTGTACTTAGATTGAAATATATTGTTTTGACCTAGGCCCAGTCTGTGTATTGCAGTTCATCTCTTAAGTTCTTAGAAGTGTTTTGGGTGCTCCAGTTGCTGAGAAGTCTAAGGTTTGTTTGTGTGTGTTTTTTTAAAAAAATAAATCAGGGAAACCAGTTTTTTTGGCTGAAACTGGAGTTTCATTACAGGCCCTGTGTAATAAAGTAATTGCATAATTAGTAATGCATTCGTCATTCTTCCACCAAGGAAAAACTTAAACATGTACAGCTTTTGTGTAAAGTCTGACAGTGGAAAGTCTTCCCCCCCTTCCCGCCTCCTTTTCCCTAGAGAATTATATCATTATATCATAAATGTGTCAAAGCTCAAGTTTACTGTTCAGGCTAATATTCTCAAATATTCTCTTAGGCTGACATCGCTGTCAATTAAAATTAAACCAAATTGCATTGTGCCGTATACACTCCAAATGGAAAGCTTTCAAGTTTATGACTGTTCTTTGAATTGATTTTTAAGATGGCATCTGTAAAACCTGCTTCGCACAAGATGAGGTGCAAGGGAGGGGGAGTGCCGTTAAGGTTCAGTCAATTTTAAAAAATAGTTTCAAAATCATAAACCAACAACTGGAAGTTATGGGGGAATCCTCAGCGTTTCAGGGTCTGATCTATAAAAAAAAAATCTAGAGTGTATTTTTTTAAAAAAAATCATCATTAACACTGTGTTAATTTTAAGAAAACATGGGTTCATTCCAGATCCTGGAAGTAGTGAGCAATGTAACTTGTTCTCTTAGAGCCATAAAAAAAAAAAAAAAAAGCCAACAAAGTCACATTACAGAATGAACAAGTAGGAACAACCTCACAGAGGTGAGCAAGAATTTCTAGTTAATTCAGTAGCTAGATTTAAAGGACATCTTATGCATTTTAGTGACATTTTCCCCCAAAATGGGATTCTTTCCTCCAAATTCTATTCCATTCTCTTATCAGTTTTAAAGTGCTTTTTGCCCCCTCAAGAAAAAAAAAAAGCAATAAGAAAAAGTAGCAAGGAACACAACACACAACATAAAACCAAGAAGTGAATGGCAATGGATTATTTTGGGTGAGGTGGCTTGCAGTGAAATATATAGCATATTGTATTTTTTGAAAGTAACTTTCCAAGCATTATTGAATTCCTCCACCTTGTCCTTCAGTCTTGCTCTCTGCTCCCCACCACAACAAGGAATAACAAAAATACGAGAACAACACTTCTTGTGTTGGATTCCAGTTGTTCAGTCTCACAGGATTTGATGTCCTGCCACTCCTCTTGGTTTCCCACAGAAATACATGGGCTTTCTCACGGGACTTTGAGTTTCTCATGGAAAATAATAGGTTTGTCGGCAATCGACGTTCTCCAGCAGTGACACCCTGCCAATAAAAGGGTTGGGGATAGGGAATAAGGAAAATTATTGCTCTCAATGAAATGAAGTTATATGTTCTTAATAGGAAACTTATTCCAACTGCACTGAGTCAAGAGGATCAGTCGCCCAAAAACATCAGGACAAACATTGCAAAGCATGGATCACCCAGGGTGAATTGCATTCAGGCCTGTGTTAAAAATAACAATAAGGATTCAGGCTTGCCAAGCCATTTCTTCATCATTGTGTTTGAGTGTTCTCAGTCAATTAGATCAGAAAGAAATGGCTTTGAATGGGGAAGAAGATGAGGAAGACAATCTACTGAAATTCTTATTGGTGGGGAAGTAGTTGTGGTTGTTGTTATTAACTGCCTTTACGTTGTTCTCGACTCATGGCGACCCTATGGATGAGATATCTCCAGCCCCCCCCTGTCCTCTCCTGCTCTGCCCAGCTCCTGCAAACTCTTATTTGTGGTCTCTTCAATAAAGTTCATTCATCTAGCATGTGGCCTTCCTCTCTTTCTACTTCCCTCCACCTTTGCTATCATTATTGTCTTTTCCAATGATTCATGCCTTCTCGTGATGTGTCCAAAGTACGACAGTCTACATTTTGTCATCTTTTCTTCTAGGAATATCTCTGGCTTGATCTGTTCTAGAACTCATTTGTTTGTCTTTTTGGCTGTCCAGGGAATCCTCAGCACTCTTCTCCAGCCCCACATTTTCTCAGATGAAAAACAAAGCAAAACAAAACAAAAGGACACATTTGCCAACTGACAACTTCAAACTACTGATCACAATGACAATGTTCAATTTAAATACTCCTGCTATATTAGCTGCAATAATTGTTTGTTGTCGTCATTGTTGTGTGCCTTCAAGTCATTTCAGTCCTATGGCAACCCTAAGATGAACCTATCACCAGGTTTTCTTGGCAAGATTTCTTCAGAGGGGATTTGCCTTCCCTCTGATGTTGGG